GTGAATTCTTACTGTACAGGGGAACATGAAATAGTGAAATTTTCGATTCCTTAATCCATTTCCATAAGAATGCTTTCCGATGCGAGACAAGCAACTGTAACTCATGCTTCTTGCAGCTGTAGCATCCGTATATTTACGAGTTTGCAATATAGCAGGCTTCGTCTATAACATCGATTACAATGTTGTTTATTGTATAATTGACGTTCACAACGAGCTCTGCAGTTAAGCCGTGCTCGATATGTGCTATCACACCGTGGTGCAGATGACTAGAACCCTGCATGAGTGAGTATGTCACCGGTAGAACGTATCCTATCTGACGAAATTGTTCTGCAATGCCATGATGCGACACGTTACTTTGGATTCTGCTGGCGCAGTCACAGAAATACAGTAGTGAGCACTGTTGTAAGTTCGCTTCTTTCTCCGATGAGCATAGCACTGCAATAGTGGTAATTGAAGGAGTCCAAAAAGCATTTGCATATTTTCGTCTGACGAATGCTGCTTCAAAAAGCTTGAAGTACTGCAGGGAGAGGACACTGAAAATGAGCGTTGTGATGGGTGGTGATTGCACTGGTGCGTTGGGCCTTGAACAGATTACTTAGCTTGTGAATTTGCTCCTTGTGTCTTCTCAGCTGCACTTTTACCTTGAGTTCTTCCTGCCACTTCACACAGTTGAAGAGTTCATAGCTTTCCTCTTTTGCAGGGAGAGCGCAAATTCGGTGCAGGTTTCTGAGCTCCGAGTCATGCAACGACACTCTCTTCGGTCACAATTCCAGAGAGTAGGCTGTTCCTGGGAAGTTGCTACCAATGGAAAGCTCCTGAAGCATGCTGGTAAAATCTATTCCCGCACAATTGTTTTCAATGCGAGGTCTCATACGGACACATCGTTTGCTTTAGATAACTTTCGAAACCATGTGCACCTCAGCACTCTCTTTTCACATAGCAGACGCAATCCGATCCAGTCTAATCTTATTCCCATAGCGATGAAATTACTGTGCTGCTTTCGGATGCATGCTTCTCTTCTGAATGAGCTGACTTTCAGAAAAGATGCTATTTCTACAATGCATTCAGTTCGTCCTTGTTGTGACACCATTTTTCAGCTCACGAAATTGACTGTCTGACAAGCACATACAATTGCTAAGAGCCCGCAAACATCCAAGGCTTTTAGTAGCCGCCTTGTGTTATGAGTTCGTTGCCTTCGCAAACTCCGAAAACTGTGTCGAATACATTCGAAGAACAAGTTCCCAAGCAAGCAGCAAACTTTCTGGCCGAAACTCTATAAAGAGCTGGCAGATTGATGTTTAGTTGTTTTTATGATTGAGTTTGTCCACCAACTACTACGCTGTTATGAAGACTGCTATGAAAAGTCGCGCTGGGCATTGTGTTCGCATGAGCGACTCGTCGAGAACAGGTGACGACGGCCCTATCGGTTCAGATGGTCTACTAATGTCTAACTCTTGGGTGAGGGTTGTACCATGGTGTTTCCTGTTCTGCTCCTTCCTCATCTGTTGTTGCTCACATAAATCTTCATTGCTAGCCTTGTCGTTGTCGTGAGTGTGCTTTTGAAGATTGTGGATTTCTATAGGAATCAGTTGATCTATCGGCCGTCAAAGGCTTTTTCATGCCCTGCTGACTTCAACTTCTCGTGTAGCAATATCGCTGCTACGAATTCATTTCTCTATCTAA